ATCATTATTATTATTATTATTATTTTTATTTATTTTTTTTGCATTAGTTATTTCCGAGTGAGTATTGAGAGAACATGATAACAGCCTGACTGGAGAGACAGGAGGAGCAGCCAAGTGAGATTATGTTTCAAAAGGTGCATTGTGTAACTGCAGGTCTTTGAAATTTGGGAAATAATTTTTGTTCCATGTTTCATACATGGTCTGTTTAAAACGTATGTAACTTTAGAACCAAAAATGGTACAAAGAAAAAAGGTCAACAGTTTCATAAACTAGAGTACATATGTATCTGTTGAATAAATTTTTATATCAGATGCATTAACTTGAATTTTTGGCCTTGTTGTTTACTTCTGCTTGACCAGGCCCATATATTTTTATATAATTATGCCTTATTTGACACCAGTCTCTTGCTATTTTTTGCTGCTTATTTAAAATGTATTATTATCATTTATATTTTTGCTAATTTTGTCTTTCTAATACATTGTGATGTGTGAGCTACTGTGTTCAAATAATTTCTCTTGTGGATCAGTTTGTCTATATCTCAAATAATCAAAATCAGTCCAACATATCGGCCCAAAAAGAGGTTATAACGGTCACCGGTTAACAATCAACAACAACAATCAATATCGGTATCAGCCATAGAAAAAAAACAACAACAACAACAACAAAAAACAACAATATCGTTCGATCTCTTGATGACGCCAGAATATTATACGTCAACTCGCATAGATACATTTGCTTTAACCTCATTTAAACTGGTTCATTCCCCATTATGAGAACGGAAGGCAACTCCAGAAAATGTCCTCAAACCATTATAACTCCAGCCCAAAATTCACTTTAGCCCACTTTAAAAAATGCAGAGCTTTAGCGTCCTTCTTGTGCGAGCTCGTCTAGTAGAACTGTCAGCGCAGGGAGCCACAGAGGAGATGACGGAGGGTTTTTGGACACACTCCGGCTGCCCTGTCTGTCGCCCGCTTTTATGGAAATGGGTGTACGCCAGGCCCCCCTCCCACCCTCCCTCTCCACCTCCATAACTCACCGTGAGCTACCACTCCACCCCCGGCCAGGCTGACCACAACTGACCTATTCATTCGGAGCGCTGGGATTTGAGAGAGGACCACGATAACGGCCCGATTGGAGTGACAGGAGGAGAAGCCAAGTGAGATTATGTTTCAAGGTGCATTGTGTAACTTTTCAGGTGGAGGATCTGTCAAATGCTTTCCTCTGTGGAGATGTTATTGCTTTGTCTTGGATGTCTCACAGTATGGCATTAAACCTTTCTATTTTCATGGAGACCAAACCAGACCAAGTTACAGGTCAGATCTGCAGAAAAGCGAACCTGCTCTGTTACGGTTGGGCACTTTTTGGTTTTTCCCTGTTTTCTTCTTCTTGTTTATATTTTTTGTAAGCATTTCTGCCTAGTTTTGTTTTTGTAAGTTAGTTATGTGTTTGTGTTTTTTTTTTTTTGTACTCATTTCCGGCAGGAGGCCTTAAATGCATGAGCCCGGCGCCGCCTCTCTCTCTCTCTCCCTTTCTCCTCCTCCTCGTTCGCCGCCGCCGCAGGTACCGGAGCGTGCACGCCTCGCGCCGGGAGCCGCCCCGCTGGCTCCCCTGCTCCATCATTGGGTAGCTTTTGTTAGCCGTTTTTGTTTTGACCTGGTGGGACCGACTGTCCTGTTTTCGATTTTCTGTTGGGTTTAGATTGTTAGGTTTTTTGGTCTCTGTGTCCTTTTATAAATATGTTGGAACTCATTTTTTCTGGGTCGTAACATGCTCAAATGTCTGGTTTTTTTTAGGTATTTTTAGGGGTGTAATGGTTCATGTAGTTGTGCTGAACCATTTCAATATAGTACATTTGGTTCAGTGCGTGGCTCTGCACATGTTAATTCTCGCAATTTGTGTGTGTTTACATCCCACCATTACATGTGCAGCTACGGAGGACTCGGCTCTTTAATATTCATGAGGGAACTCATACGTGATTGTGGCGGCAGTGTTTCCTGCAAAGCTTTATAGTTAGGGCGGCCACCTTGGCTGTGTCCCTCCAAACCACGTATATCCTTGCAAAACTACGGACGTCGCACCCCGGTCCTCACTTTCGCCTTTCGTCTGCATGGAATTTCTGCCGCCCCCATACCCTGTCCCTAGATCAAGAGGATTTTCAACCACTGGGGACACTGTAACTGCAGCAGATCTGCACTTACTGCAGACAATGTTCGTTAATTTTTTGGCCAAAAATATGAAGACTGAATAAAACTTCCTCCTGAAACTGTTAGTGCTGCACTTTACTTTTTGAAAAGTTTTGTTTACTGTTTATGATATTTTTATTTTTTTTATAATATTACATACATTTTTTGCTTGTTTGAGAATATTATTAATATTAAACTTATTAGTATTAGCAAGCAGCACTTTGCATTTATTATATTTTTCCCTTTTGTATAATGTTAAAACAAATTGTTGGTTTAATAAAAACACAAATAAACAACAAGCAAATGGTTTTACATTTTGTTCCCATACTGTACCAAAAATGAACTGAACTGTGACCTCAAAACCGACAAACCCTATGCATGGCCTGGAGTGTGATTTCTTTTAGATGAGAACTATAACTGATTTTTTTCCCCCTCAAACCTCAAATGTAGGACAATTAGGATTTTTCAAAATACAACTTTGAGTAAACTTATGATGAAGGAACACCATTGTAACATGCTTATACACTCAATCATGTGTCCACTTTAACTGATCAAAATATGACTCAAGAAGAAGTACACGATAGAGTTAAAAGGTATTCTTTCACACATGATGGATATAAAGGCTGAATTAGACTAGTTTTAAAGCATGTAAAAGGTCTATGCATACACAACATACTGCTCCCTTTGCATCAGCACACCTAACCCATTCACATGAACATCTAAATCAGGGAAGTCAAACTCCAATTCACAGAGGCCAAAATTAAAAACTGGGACTAAGTCGGTCGCCAAACTAAATATTTATTGAAACATTTCAACAATATCTGCATGTTTTCTCTTCTTTCGAGTTATGTAATGTTAAACCTTTTTCTTTTACCTTTTGCCTGACGAAGGCCTAGTGCCGAAACGTTGCACGGTTTGTCCTAATAAATTTCACAGTTTGCAAGTAAGACGGTGTGCGGGATTTTTCTGTATGTTCTGGGGCTGCTCCCTCTCCTCCAACGCACCCGTCTCTAGTAGTTGATGTGCGAGGCTCTCATTCTCTCATACCTTTTCTTATTAAAAGAAATGTTTAATAATAGTTTTGCTTAAACACTGAATCCAGAACAAGCAAAATATAAAATAATAACAAAATTTCAAATAATGTCTCTATAGTCTATCTGTAGCCGGCGGACAGCTCTAATACATATTTGATATGATCTTGCAGGCCAACTATAATAATATCACTGACAAAAATACTGCAGATTGTATGTGTGCGTAGGGCGTCATAGGCCTAACTAGGGGTGGGCGATATCTCGATATTTTAAATATATCGATATGAATTCTGACATATCGTATATATCAATGTAATGCTTATATTCAATTTTGATTTCGTCGCTTCGCTTGTTTACCTTCTCTGTCGTTGCCCCCGCCTCCCTGATTTTGTTCGCTCGTGTCTCATTCACTCCTCACTATCGCCCTGAAGCCGAAAGGTGCCAGTGAAAAGCTTCAAGCGCCACAAACCTTTTCCACCATTTACAGACAAAACCACCAGCAGCACATCCTCATATTCCACCGAGTCGCATCCTTTAGCGTGAACTAAACTTAGGTAAACGAGCTGAGCTGCATGAGAAGTGAGCTGTTTATGCAAATGAGCCATGCGCTTAAGTTTTGTTTCTGTAAAATGTAAACACACGTGCGCAAAACTGCATTAAACACATTATTATCTCAAACGGGCTGATGTGGCTCTAGAGTCGTTATGCTTTATATATTGTAAAGTTTAGTAATGTAAAGTCTATTTATGCAGAAGATTTTAATGAATAATCTGCTGCAGTGTCACTTGTACAACAGTGTTTGGAATCGTTGGGTTTGATCTGCAGTGGATTGTGGGAAACCTCAGAGCTCCTTACTGCTGGATAATAACATGGATCTATTAAAATACGGAACATCCTGAGCTTCTTCTGCTAAATGAGCTCACGGTTATGATTCTGGTTTGGATAACAGAGTTAATGCAAAGATGAGCTTGTGTTGAGTTGTTTTATTTATAATGAAAAGAAGGAAATATGTATTATTTCTGTTATTTTACAGTTAAATTGTTATTTATGTAATTAGGGTTTTTTGTAATCTTAGATGTTCTATATGAACTGCCGACCTCTTACACACAAAAAAAAGACCTTGTGGAATTTGGCATATTTGTTTTTGCAGTTTTCAGTTTTAGGGGGTTATTTTTTCTTGAACATATATTGAGATATATATCGTATATCGAGATATATTTTTTGATCCATATCGCCCAGCCCTAGGCCTGACACCTGGTTTACACTCACTGCAGGTTTGATGTGGTTTAGGACTTGCACGGGTCCAACAGACTGAGAAAGTCATTAAGACCAGTGCTCCTGCCACACTCACGTCTGAGGTGAGCGAGAGCAGGTTTGTGCAAAGAAATCATAAAGTCTATTTGTCCTGAACACTGCGGCATCTGGAGTGGTTTTCAGGTTATTAGACATGTGTTATCCCACTCAAATATGTACCGAACATGACCTGCTGTTCGTGTAAACCCTGTGCAATTGGTTGGAACTCAGAATATAGCTGCTGCTCCTTCACATTCCGAGGACCCGGCTGAGATGGCGCTCGCATCTGTCCCCGAAGAGGTGCTCAGGGCATGAGGGGAGACACAAGAGAGCCGCCCTTTAGCCCATACTTGTGTCCAAACGCTTATTCAAGTAAAGTGCCTCTATAACTCCTCACCTCTGTACCTGAGCGTTGCTGCTGTTACGTCTCTAGCGGTGAGGCAGACAGAAGTTATGTATTCATCTCTTAGTAACGTGTGTTTGTTTTGCTCAGGCGGCGGAGAGAAGAAAAGCCGTGGTTTCCAGTCTGGTGCACTACCTGGGACCTGAAGCTCACTCTTTTATCCACTATGAAGACAAGGTAAGCACTGAGGCCCTGGCTGACGTGAGTAAACATACGCGAGGTGCTTTGGGGCCACTGCGCTCAAATCTGTGGGGAGACAGTCTGCAGCATAGAACACAAAGCAGTCGCAAGTAGAAGAGAAAAAAAAAGACTTGCTTTCGATGAAGCATAATAGAGTAAAAGGCAGTGTAAGGAACAGTATGTAATGGTGTAAGTTATTTATTTATTTATTTATTTGCAAGAACTGTAGACCCTGCTGCTCTCACTGTTAAGTCTGTACATGTTCTGAAGTAGCCCATATCATGAGCTGGAGTTCAGTAGAAATTATTTTAGTTATTTCCAGTGTTCGATTAGGGATGGGCATGATTAATCGATTAATCGATAATTGATCATTAAGAATTTCATTGATTACGTTAATTTTAATCGACAAACCGAATGTAGGTTGCTGTGCGTAGTGTGACCAAACAGGGTCTGTACATGTGTCTCTCTGCACTCAGAAGGAGCGAGCAAACACAAACGCGTATTTAACGATGACTTGTACAAGAAATTCCACGCTTTCCGTTGCGTTCGGGACAAGTGTGAGTCCATGTGCACAGTGTACAAAGCAGCACATATGTTTCAGTGTCCAGTGGGAAAAAGTTTTGCCAGGTGAGAGTCGCGCAATGTCGATGACGAGTCCCCACCTCCCTCCCCCCGTACGGTGTCCTGGTTTTGACAAACACAAATACGGTCACACTAACCTGTATTCCACTGAGTCATGTCTTTTAATCCGACAGAAATTGAACCGCATCAGCGACACAAGAGCTGGAGTTTTTTATCTTCGCTTAGTTTATGCAAATTAGTGCGATGCGGTTTTAAGTTTCGTTTCTGTGAGAGTTGCTCAAAACTGAATTAAACACATTATAATGTCAAACGGATTGATGTGGCTCTAGCTTCGTTACGGTTTATATGTCGTAAAGTTGAATTTATTTATGCAGATTAGTAGTGCAGATAGTAATAATAATGATGATAATTTTAATATAAAAGCGTTAATGATTAATCGATAATCGATCGTTAATTCTTCCGACGATCGATTAAGAAAATTTCATCGAATGCCCATCCCTAGTGTCGATGTTGATTAGCTGTGTAATAAATGACATTTTGAGATTTAAAGATACTCTGCGTTGGCGGTGCGATTCATAAACATGATGTTCTGTAGCCGCATTGAGGCCAGAGCCAGTTACGTCTCAGGCTTCACCAGGACTTTGTTTTACCGTCACTGTTGTTTATTCACTCGGACTGTTTAGTCATGTCTGAACGATATGATGTCAGAATTATTCATTAATTATTCAGATATCAAAGTTGAAAGAATTACATTATGTCTCGTGAGTTTTTTGTTTGCTTATTATTTGCATTGTTATAGCGGCTTGACCTAATGAGCCTATGCTAGTGGTCAGTCAGTTCATCCACAGAATTATCAAATCGTGAGCCTAATAGCCTAACTGCCTAGGTCATTTTTTTGGCCAAATTATGCTATCTGCCTCACTTTACAATGTGCTTGTTAAAAAATCTGTTTTTTCTTGTTTTCCAAAAACGTTCAAATATGACTTAGGCAACTATGCTATTAGGATAACGAAATGTGTGTACAGAAAAGTTTAAAATGAATGAGCTATTTGAAAGGTTAAGGCTTTATAGGATGCTCAGATCATGTCCAACAAGTTTGTGAAAATTGCAATGTAGTATGTTTTTATTTATCTTCTTTGTCATCTTATGAACATGAACATGAGGTGAAGTAGCTAAAATATTTATGACATCTTTATTTACGACCTGTCATAATTGGCTACTGTACTGTACTGTACTGTACTGTACTGTACTGTACTGTACTGTACTGTACTGTACTGTACTAGCCGAAATGTTCTGTGACAATACTGTACACAGGACAAGAGACCATTTTTGCTAGTTTAGGATGGCTAACATCACAACAAATTACATAGAAAAAAAAAGTTTCAAATGGAGCTCTTCCTGGACCTCCAGAGGATAATACACAGTAGATAAAACACAGTCATCAGTTTAAAGATGCAAAAAACCCAAGGCACTCACTGGTTAAAATAAACTGCCTTTATTAATTTACAGCATGTCTTAATGGACAACATATTAAGTCCCGACGCATTTCAGCCTATGGCCAGACAGGGGTTTGTCCCCTGAGGAAAACCATAGGCTGAAAGGCGTTGGGACCAGTGAGTACTTTGTTTTTTTTTTGTTTTTTTTTTCCATCTTTAAATTAAACAGAAACCGTGAATAGTTCTGATCATGCCAGACTAAGTAAGTCGGTCCTCAGCAATGGGCACCAGTTGCATTCTCCATAAACAATTCTCACTTCTGCTGTAATTAACAACACAACTTCTCAATGGACCGAGTCAAGCAGAAGTAAACAGCAAGGCCAAAAATTCAAGTTAATGCATCTGATATAAAAATGTATTGAACAGATACATATGTACTCTAGTTTATGAAACTGTTTAGCTTTTTTCTGTACCATTTTTGGTTCTAAAGTTACATACATTTTAAACAGACCATGTATGAAACATGGAACAAAAATTATTTCCCACATTTCAAAGACCTGCAAATCATGTAAATAAATGGATGTATTTCATAATTTCTTGTGTTATTCGATCTTTGAACTGTTGATAAAGGTACATGATTTAAAAAAAAATATATATATATTTAAAATGATAAAAATTTACTTAGAAGGACTGACATATTTTATAGAAATAGTTTCCTTTCATTCTGAAGTAATATTAAAGTACTCGGAAGAAAAAAGCGACAAATTATGCAAAATCCTGCACCTTCTACTTGTTTGCACAATTTTCCCTCCGTTACTTTTCCCTCCGTTACCATGACCTTTCTTAATAAAAAATCTCATTACTCAAAAAGTAAGAGGTTTTTCAACCTAATCTTGTACCATATGGTAGAAAACTATATGAAGCAAATATTCAAACCAGTTTGTTAAGGATATGGAAGTGAGAACCAAGAGTTATCACTGTTTGGATTTATTACCCAAAAAGTGCTGCATATTTCATTCCCTCTGTTACCGACATGAGTTTTTAAATTTTTTGTCAACAACTTGAAAGAATATCACAGGTTTAACTTTACCCTGTTGGAGTGTTAACTCTTTCCTACATTCTGATACTTTACTTATTTCAATAGTCCCTTTAGTTTCTGAATAAGAGCTTTTTGAGCTATTGTTACCGCTTGACCGGACCCCAATGTAACGTGGGGAATGCTACTGTCTGTGTATCTTTTGCTCCTCGGCAGCGCGTGCTGCTTGTCTACGACGGGGCCCTGAAAAATGTGGGTTGACTAACTGAAAAACTATTGGTTAATGCTTGCACAAATCAATCATCTCACAGTTCCAACCAAGTCATCACTTTCTGGTCAAACAGTGTTAACATAAAGCTCAGATTAAAGTCTAACTTGAGTCACAGAGCTTCTAATAGAGCAGTGCTTACAGTTATCTTCACACCCCAGGAAAAGTTGTTGAAATCAGTTGCGAAGTATCAATTCATCCCAATTAGCTGTGTTCTATTTCTTTCAAAAGCATTACATTAATAGCATAGTGTTTTGTAGTGCGGTCTATGTGCGGCTGTAGTCATGGTGAAGGATTCTTACAAAGTTGGGACAAGAAAGAACAAATCATCCGACAGTACAGAGAGAGCACACAGCAGCCTGCAGACCTCAACCTCACCTTTTTGTTTGTACTTATTTTTGGCAAGCCTTCCAGCGTTATGCAATATTTCAGCCATTTTAAAATCATCTGGAACACTTTTTCCTCCAGCTGTCTGTGATATCGGCTTTTGTAAATAATGTATGTAATGTATGGGAAGCAACTACAACCTAATGCTTACTACAAAACACCATAAAAAGACTAAAGAACTCAAATAATATAAAATGCTTAAAAAAAAGCTGGTGAAGATGAAGACTTTAAAAGCACTCTACCTGTTTTTAAATAGCTTGTAGTGGTCCAAAGTTATTCCTCACTAACCGTATGCATTCCTAACATCTTCACATCCAACTCTCAGAGACCAGTGTGGAGTTTGATTGTGACTAGCATGCTAACAGCACACTTCCTGGTTATGCTTTATAATTTGATACATACAGTGCACAGTAGACATATTCTGACCTCAAGAGCTGCTTGTACAATATATGGAAAAATCTGGTACTGGCTCATGAATATAGAGATTGGGATTGTGTCATCACACCTCAGTCACGTTAAGAATAACATTTTAAGATGCTACGTGTTTGACTTCGCATTCACGCAAAAGACTATGATTATGACAAAAGACTGAAAAGTATAGTGACCCGGGCCAGCGCTGCATCTTATCTGGTTGTTCCACAGCTCTTGTGTTGTCTGATACATATACAGTGTTTGGACATTACAGTGTTTGCAACAAAGACAGCAAACGCTACACAGGGTTATTCTGAGAAAAAACGGCATGGTTAAAAGCTAAGGTAAAGCACAGCTGTGTAACTTAAAACTATACTTCTCCATGGAGCTAGATATGTTTTGTGCCATATTGTGGAAGATTATTAGTCAGGCTGGTGCCACCTCGTGCCTTCGCTCAATTTCATTTCTCTCCAGCGACTAGGTCAGGAATTGCAATACACTAGTGGGGTGGGCAAACTACGGCCCGGGAGCCGTATGCGGCCCTTTAAACCTTTTAATCCGGCCCACCGAACTGGAATAAATTACAATAATAAACAATGTTGATGTTTTATTTGTCATGCATTTCCAGCGTTTCCCAATAGAGATGGTGCACTATATATACACTGAGGTGCGGCGTATTATGTTGGCCACAATGCCTTAAGGGAAAGTGTTCTTACAGGAGTTATTCGGACCATGAGTGAAGTAGAAGTGTTCAAGATATAAGGCTGCAATGCTTCTATTTTAATTTGGTAAGAGTCAAACATGGAAGACTTATAGACTCTATTTTTATAATTCCTGATGCATGGAACGTCTTAGAGTCTGGTTTTACTGCACGCGC